TAACCTGTTCAGAGTGGGACTTGTGAAGCAACATTCTTAAATGAGTGAAGGTGTCGATTACTAAGGTGGGTTTCTGCTCTTCCATATTCATGTACATTTGACTTCTTAAGTACAGTGTTGGAGCTTGTCTTGTTGTACTAATGGTTTGCAGAGGAGAGCTGTGGTGTATGGGAATGTATGTTAGTGTATGGGGAAGTGTGTGTGTATATATATTGTGACGGGAAAGTGTTGGAGTATAGATGTTCGGCAGTCCTCCAATGGCAGGTGTCAATGCCTGGTCACACTTACAAAAAAAAAGATAGACTGCTTGCCTGTTGTCTGTGGTAAGTTAGAGGGAGGAACACGTAAAACACAAAGTATGAACAATGAAACTTTAATATATTTACTTTAAACATAAATGAAAATAAAGACAAATCTCGGGTAAATGACTGGTGCAATTAAATGACAAAGATAAATGCAAAAACACAATAGATTAAATATTATAATGGTAAAATGGTGCTGAGAATATTGGCTTTAGCTGAGACCTCCCTTAGTATACGAAAGCCAGAGAGATGTCAACTCTAAGAGCACAAAGAATATTCTGAAGTTGATGGCTAGTCAGGCTCAGACGTCGACTCAGGTAGATGGTGCTGAGGTGCAGGGTGCAGGTGCGCGGTCGGCGAGTCACCAATCAGGAGCAGGCAGGCTGGGATGGGTAGTTTGCTGGTTGACGACGAGCCGGCGTGGAGGGTGTGTGGAGTAGGGGGGTTCTTGGGTACGTTTTGCCTCCTGGTCAAAACGTTTTGTGCTACCGGTGACGTATCTTGAATGTAGCATCTTATACTTGTAGAATTGACGTAACTTTAAGTAGGAAAGAGCAGGCTCAATCTCTCTTGAAAGAGATTATCGTCACAAAATATATATATATATATTATATATATATATATATATATATATATATATATATATATATATATATACATATATATATATATATATATATATATATATGTATGTATGTATATATATATATATATATATATATATATATATATATATATATATATATATATATATATATATATATATATATATATATATATGACAGTGTCAGACCACGGAGGAGTGACTCCTTCTGAAGATGTATTAATATACGAATGTCCTTAAGGAAATTCCTGTTTCAATTTTCCTCCGTGGTCTGACACTGTCACATTTTTAATCACGTGTTTATTTTCGTGATACACACACACACACACACATACACACACACACATACACACACACACACATATATATATATATATATATATATATATATATATATATATATATATATATATATATATGTATATATATATATATATATATATATATATATATATATATATATATATATATATATATATATAATTCAAATCACAAATCCACAAGGGCCGTGACGGGGATTCGAACCTGCGTCCGGGAGCATCCCTGTCGTAGCTCAGTCGATTAAGGCAGTGCCTGGGATGCTCCCGGACGCAGGTTCGAATCCTCGTAACGGCCCTTGTGGATTTGTTCTTTTAAGTATTGAGTATTTTTTTTTTTATCATGTAGCCGGGGTATATTTAACGCAAAAGAACGTTTATATTTTGACGCACAGTGTCAGGTTCACTTGACGCATGGGGCCTGAGGGCGCATCTGACGCATGATGGGATCTGGAGAGCGAAAACATTTAGTCAATCATGGACATTTCTCATGCAGCACAGTGGCCTACGTTCAGGGCTTGCAACAAACGGACCTGGGTTCCATCCTCGGGCAGGATGAAACCCGTTGGGCTAAGGAGGGGGGATGGGGGGTGGGGGCGCCTGAATAACCTAAGCGCAGGGTTCCTGATCCCAATAAATGTAATTATTAGGAACAGTTATCACAGATAACAGGGACAAGCGTCATTATTAGTGAATAGTATTGGATATTATATATTTTTTTAGGATTACAACTTAGTCGTGTTCCATAATGTTCACCGGTTCAAGAGCCTCAGTTATTATCTGCTGGAATGTTATTTATGCCGAGTTAACCTGTGTGTGTGTGTGTACCTAATTGTACTTAACTGACTGTGCTTGCGAGGGTTGAGCTCTGGCTATTTGGTCCCGCCTCTCAACTGTCAATCAATTAATGTACAGGTTCCTGAGCCTACTGGGCTCTATCATATCTACATTTGAAACTGTGGAGTCAGCCTCCACCACATCACTTCCTAATGCATTCCATTTTGTCTACTACTCTGACACTGAAAAAAATCTTTCTAATGTCTCTATGGCTCATTTGGGCACTCAATTTCCACCTGTGTCCCCTTGTGCGTATTCCCCTTGTGTTAAATAGACTGTCTTTATCTACCCTATCAATTCCGTTCAGAATCTTGAATGTGGTGATCATGTCCCCCTTAACTCTTCTGTCTTCCAGCGAAGTGAGGTTTAATTCCCGTAGTCTCTCCTCGTAGCTCATACCCCTCAGTTCGGGTGCTAGTCTGGTGGCAAACCTTTGAACCTTTTCCAGTTTAGTCTTATGCTTGACTAGATATGGACTCCATGCTGGGGCTGCATACTCCAGGATTGGTCTGACTTATGTGGTATATAATGTTCTGAAAGATTCCTTACACAAGTTTCTAAAGGCCGTTCTTATGTTAGCCAACCTGGCATATGCCGCTGATGTTATCCTCTTGATATGAGCTTCATGGGATAGGTCTGGCGTGATATCAACCCCCAGGTCTTTCTCTCTGACTCTTGAAGTATTTCATCTCCCAAATTGTACCTTGTATCTGGTCTCCTGCTCCCTACACCTGTCTTCATTACATTGCATTTGCTTGGGTTAAACTCTAACAGCCATTTGTTCGACCATTCCTGCAGCTTGTCTAGGTCTTCTTGAAGCCTCAAGTAGTCCTCCTCTGTTTTAATCCTTCTCATAATTTTGGCGTCGTCAGCAAACATTGAGAGGAATGAGTCTATGCCCTCCGGGAGATCATTTACGTATATCAGGAACAGGATAGGTCCAAGTACAGAGCCCTGTGTGTGTGTGTGTGTGTGTGTGTACTCACCTATATGTACTCACCTATATGTGCTTGCAGGATCGAGCATTGACTCTTGGATCCCGCCTTTCTAGCTATCGGTTGTTTACAGCAATGACTCCTGTCCCATTTCCCTATCATACCTAGTTTTAAAAGTATGAATAGTATTTGCTTCCACAACCTGTTCCCCAAGTGCATTCCATTTTTCTACTACTCTCACGCTAAAAGAAAACTTCCTAACATCTCTGTGACTCATCTGAGTTTCCAGTTTCCACCCATGTCCCCTCGTTCTGTTATTATTACGTGTGAACATTTGATCTATTTCCACTTTGTCAATTCCCCTGAGTATTTTATATGTCCCTATCATATCTCCTCTCTCCCTTCTTTTCTCTAGTGTCGTAAGGTTCAGTTCCTTCAGCCGCTCTTCATATCCCATCCCTCGTAGCTCTGGGACAAGCCTCGTCGCAAACCTCTGAACCTTCTCCAGTTTCTTTATGTGTTTCTTCAGGTGGGGGCTCCATGATGGCGCGGCATACTCTAAGACGGGTCTCACGTAGGCAGTGTAAAGCGCCCTAAAAGCTTCCTCATTTAGGTTTCTGAATGAAGTTCTAATTTTCGCCAGTGTAGAGTACGCTGCTGTCGTTATCCTATTTATATGTGCCTCAGGAGTTAGATTAGGTGTCACATCCACTCCCAGGTCTCTTTCTCGAATCGTTACAGGTAGGCTGTTCCCCTTCATTGTGTACTGTCCCTTTGGTCTCCTGTCACCTGATCCCATTTCCATAACTTTACATTTACTGGTGTTAAACTCCAGTAGCCATTTCTCTGACCATCTCTGCAGCCTGTTTAAGTCCTCTTGGAGGATCCTACAATCCTCGTCTGTCACAACTCTTCTCATTAATTTTGCGTCATCTGCAAACATCGACATGTATGATTCCACTCCTGTAAACATATCATTTACGTAAATTAGAAAGAGGATTGGTCCCAGCACCGATCCTTGAGGTACTCCACTTGTTACTGTTCGCCAGTCCGACTTTTCGCCCCTTACCATTACCCTCTGGCTCCTTCCTGTTAGGTAGTTCTTCACCCATACTAGGGCCTTTCCGCTTACTCCTGCCTGCCTCTCAAGTTTGTATAGCAGTCTCATGTGCGGTACCGTATCAAAGGCCTTTTGGCAGTCAAGAAATATGCAGTCTGCCCAGCCTTCTCTGTCCTGCCTTATCCTTGTTACTTTATCATAGAATTCTAAAAGGTTTGTTAGGCATGATTTCCCTGTCCAGAACCCATGTTGGTGCTTGTTTACAAACCCAATGCTCTCCAGGTGCTCAACAAGTCTTAGCCTAATTATTCTTTCAAGTATTTTGCAGGGGATGCTTGTCATCCCCTGCACCAGGGATGTGTGTGTGTGTGTGTGTGTGTGTGTGTGTGTGTGTTTGTGTGTGTTTGTGTGTGTTTGTGTGTGTTTGTGTGTGTGTGTGTGTGTGTGTGTGTGTGTGTGTGTGTGTGTGTGTGTGTGTGTGTGTGTGTGTGTGTGTGTGGATGAAGGGGTACCGCTAACCCTCTCATTGTGTTCTCTCCATAGCACCCTGACCCCACCGTGACCCCAGCCAGTGTCACCCCCACAGCCAAGGACCTTTAATAACACCATCACCATCAAAAATAACTCCTTAAACACTCTTCAAGTTAAGACGTCGTCAAACTTAAGAACAACAGCGGGCGCATTCACCAACTATTCTTTTTTTCTCTTCAACAAATTCAACTGAAACGTCTTTAGGACGCGATAAAATGTTTGATATAAGCAAGTGGCTCGTTCAGCCGTCTTATTCACCAAAGGAATCTTAAGATTGCAACGTTAATGCAGCGTCTTAAGAACTCAAATTTGGTTTACCGAGGATCTCGGGTTGCAATTTCCCTTGCCTCGTCCCTTATATAGTGGGTGCAACACGGCCTTAATTCCCGGGCCCGCCTTGCTGATAACACACAATTAACAGTTAATCACAGTCATTCCGGGACTTGTTCTTCTCATATGCATGTGGCAATCTACCTTTTCTCTATATTCGTTGTGTGTGTGTGGAGAGAGAGTCGAGGCGGAGGGACTGAGGTGGTCCTCAAGCGCGTCCATCACTTGGCCTCGGATTGTAATCTTGGTTTTAGGAATTTGTTTGTGGCCTTGTAGAGTTGACTGGTACCTCTGGTCGTCTTCTGGACTCTGGTTGACTTGTGGACTCTGGTCGTCTTGTGGCCTCTGGTCGTCTTGTGGCGTCTGGTCTTCTGACGTCTGGTCGTTTTCTGACGTCTGGTCGTTTTCTGACGTCTGGTCGTCCTCTGACGTCTGGTCGTCCTCTGATCTCTGGTCGTCCTCTGATCTCTGGCCGTCCTCTGACGTCTGGTCGTCCTCTGACCTCTGGTCGTCCTCTGACGTCTGGTCGTCCTCAGACGTCTGGCCGTCCTCTGACGTCTGGCCGTCCTCTGACCTCTGGTCGTCTTCTGACCTCTGCTTCTCCTTGTCTGTGGTTTTCTTAATAAGCAGAAAATAGTTCATAGTAACGTGACTGAAACAAATAAACCAATCCTATAGCCCCCCCCCCCCCTACACACACACCTGAAAATGGGGGAGGGGGATTATCTCTAGATCTTGGTGGAATGTCACTCTCGTAAGATGTCAGGTGTGTAGGTGAGATTCTTTTCTTTCATCTGAGGTTGATTTTATTTGAAATTTGCTCTGTGAATCAAAATTCAGATTTTTTGTTAAATTATACATCATGACTTTTAAAATATTCGACGGAGGTTCACGAGGTTAAATGATTTTTTTTTTTATTCAAAAGCTACATTTGATACAGCTTTTCTGCTGTTGCTTATTCTGCGAATGTGTTAAGTAGTTTGCTTTTGTTAATTTGTGGTAATATTGTTAGATTGTGCAGGAGCAATCAAGACGTTTATCAAGATTTTTGTCCTAGGCGCTATATTAACTTTTTTTATTATTATTATCTTTTCCTTTTCATGGCGAGCAGAGCTTGGATACAGTTTTGAGGCGCTGGTTATCTTGATTTCTTGAGGTTATCTTGAGATGATTTCGGGGCTTTTTAGTGTTCCCGCGGCCCGGTCCTCGACCAGGCCTCCACCCCCAGGAAGCAGCCCGTGACAGCTGACTTAACACCCAGGTACCTATTTTACTGCTAGGTAACAGGGGCATAGAGTGAAAGAAACTCTGCCCATTGTTTCTCGCCGGCACCTGGGATCGAACCCAGGACCACAGGATCACAAGTCCAGCGTGCTGTCCGCTCGACCGGGAAGTCTTGCCGCTTGCACACACACCTTCAGTAATGGTTAATATTGCACAAGACGGCCAAAGGTCAATACTAACTTTTCTGTCCGTTTTACGATAATGATCAGTTGGAGCGGGGAACGCCAGCTTGACTGACAACAGTCACTGACGACTGAACAGCGAAGAAAACTTGCCGCGGGTACAATAGACGCCAGGAAAAAAAATGGGAAGAGAGGAAACAAAAGAGCGTGTCGTAAAAGTTACCAGGTATCTATTGTGACGAGATCCAGTCACACCCGAAGTGCTGCTATTGGAGTGGAACATCGCCCATTCAAATAGTTTTACAAGAACTTTCCTAAGGCAAAAGGTCCGTTTAAACATTTTAGTCGAGTATTCTTACAAATTTCTCAAACACGAACACTAGTTAATGCAAACCACAGTGACAACAAATGTATAAATGACGCATACATAATCTTGGAAAATGAAATGAAAGCAACGAGACTCCGGTCCGTCCTGGAGCCTGGTCGAGGCGTCACTGAAGAAAGGTATGAGGTGGAGGGAGTCTATATAAGGTATGAGGGATAGAGGGAGATGACAGGAGGTGAGGGCCAAGTGAAGTAAAGCTTGATGTCTTGAGCTAGCGTAATTTACCACTTAATTAGGGTCCAAGACGGACTGAAAATGTCTTGACTTTGCAGGCGATGAGTCACAATAACGTGGCTGAAGTATGTTGACCAGACCACACACTAGAAGTTGAAGGGACGACGACGTTTCGGTCCGTCCTGGACCATTCTCAAGTCGATTGAGAATGACTTGACTTTCGTGTACTCACCTAGTTGTGCCTGCGGGGGTTGAGCTTAAGCTCTTTGGTCCCGCCTCTCAACTGGTGTACAGATTCCTGAGCTTCTCGAGCTCTATCACATCTACATTTGAAACTGTGTATGGACTCTAGGTTTATTTGTTTTGAACTACGTCATTGTGATGTTTCATTCACCTGGGCTCTGGCTGACTCGAACCGCTGCCTCCCACGTGTGAGAGGCCGAGGGTCTATCGACTGGTCTATCGAGTAGTGTTAATACCATAATAACATTGTTAGCATTATAATGCTCTTTGCATACCACACATCATCATCCTCTCCAGTTGTCACAACGTCACTTAAACGTTCTACTAAATTGAGTGAACCGAACCTAACCTAACACCTACGAATAGAAAACGGGACATCACTTCAATTTTGCGAGCTGCTATGATTTTTTTTAGTACATCATACTTTAGCTGTTCGGGGGATTTATACGTTAAAATGTGGTATATATACACAACCCAGGATGACGGATTGAAACATGAAAATTCGTCTCATTTCTTTGTTTAACTAATAACTCTCTCTCTCTCTCTCTCTCTCTCTCTCTCTCTCTCTCTCTCTCTCTCTCTCTCTCTCTCTCTCTCTCTCTCTCTCTCTCTCTCTCAACTTATAAGCCTGGCTCTAGGAAATACTTTTTTTGTTATCAAATACTTTTATAATTTTAATGTGATGCGGTGAGGAGCTGGGAGTATTAACACGGGAGAGGAGCTGGGAGTATTAACACGGGAGAGGAGCTGGGAGTATTAACACGGGAGAGGAGCTGGGAGTATTACAACGTTGGTGGAGCTGGGAGTTCAGTCACTCCCAGCACCCAGAAAATCCATTTACACCAATAACCTGCCTTAAACCCTTGGGGAAAAAAATATTGGAAAAAATATTTTTTCCCTATTTTTTCTTTTTTTCCCCTTCATGCCTCACCTGATGAAGCACTATTCTCCATTGTTAGGGAAAGTTTCATTTTTTTTCTCTCTTCAAATTTAGAATGTTGTTTTCATCTGGTCGAAAGAAATTTGATAAAATTGAGAACATTTTCGTGGTTTGGGTTCAATGTAGTTTATATATTGCAAGTGTATTTAAAGTTGTTTTACAAGTGGCTACGATTTTTTATTTTTTAACGTGAACTTGTAAGGTCATTTTGGCTGTGTTTCTTGTGATAATATTGCGTTTTAGCGCGTGTTTTCAATACCCGCTCATCCTTGGCTGTTCATTCATCGGTAATGTTTTTCTCATAACTCCTCACACACACACACACACACACACACACACACACACACACACACACACACACACACACACACACACACATACACACACATACACACACACACACACACACACACACATGTTTAACAAAAGATGTTTAACCTCATGTTTAACCAGAGACAAAGCTCAACCCCCGCAAGCATAAATAAGTGAGTAGAAATAGGTGAGTACACACACACACGCGCGCGCGCGCACACACACACACACACACACACACACACACACACACACACACACACACACACACACACACACACACACACACACTCCAAAATGACTGAGGCAAGCTGCGGAGTTGGTCCAAGAAATGGCTACTGGATTTCAACCCCAGCAAGTGTAAGGTGATGTAAATGAAAACAGGTAAGCAAGAGGACAGTTCAAAAATGAAGGGACACTACCGCCCTGTAATGAGTAGAGAAAAAGACTTGGGAGTGGATATGACACCAACTTCAGTGGCACATATAATATCAGCAGTATACTCTACAATGCAGTATACTCTACAATGCAGTATACTTCTCAGCATCACTCAGTAAACTAAATGCAGTATACTTCTCAGCATCACTCAGTAAACTAAATAGGAAGACATTCAGATCACCGTTCACCTACGTGAGAGCAGCCCTAATATATGCAGGCACGATGTGGAGCCCGTATCTCAAAAAGCATATAAGGAATCAGGCAAAGGTACAAGCATTTGCAACGAAGTTCATTCCTGAACTGCGAGTGGTGGATTGAAGAAAGACGGAAAGGCAGGACTTAACGTCGCAAGAAAAGATGGGAGAGAGGAGACATGATAGAGACATACAAATACTTAAGGGAATTGCCAGATTAGAAAATAAGAGATGTTTACAATGAATTTCAATAGAGCAATATGGAATGGACAGAAACACGAGAAACTAAAAATGAGCCATAGAGCTCGTAAACAAATTAACTGAACGTAAGAGTAATTGGAAAATGAACTGAGTAATTCGTAGGTGTCAACTAAATTAAAAAAAAATATAGAATAATAGATTAGCAGGCAATCTAGACAACCGGAGACTAGAAAGACTGGGTCCAAGAACTAAAGCTCTATTCTGTAAACACAAATAGATGAAAACACATGCAAAGGCTCTGGAATTATCTTGCATAGTTTGACGATCGTTTCAACAAACTACCCTAATCGCTCATGAGAAACCGGGCAATTTAAAGACAAAACACACACACACACACACACACACACACACACACACACACACACACACACACACACACACACACAAGCATTACATTACCATAAGTACATATTGACTAACTCCTCACTAACATTACAAGAAGCTCTCAAAAATATCACAAGGTACAAAAAATGGCTGAGTTCGTCCGAGTACGAAGTGGGACGAGACCAGATCAGAGACCAAATTAGGTCTCTGATCTAATCTGATCTAAAAATATATATATATATAAAATAATATACCATCATAGCTAATGTTTGGCATTAAGTTTAACCTTAAACTGCTTTTCCCCAGCGTAACCTCGTGAGGACGCGCTTGGCCATTCACCAACACGCTAAACTGTTTTTTGCTATTCTGATTATTCTTAAAAGTTCCGTCTCAAGCTTCTTGACGACTGTGACTCTGTGTAGACAAGCTTGGGTTTCCGTCGGAAGCCGCAAGCCGGCGGGTGTTCAGGAATGGAGGAATGGCTTTGTGTTGCTTGTCAAGGTGTTAGGCGTGGTGGAGGTGGTCGTGATTTATGTCGCGGCGTGTTGCTCTGGTCGCCATTGTGTTGCGACGCTGGCGATCTTGGCGGGAAACAAGACCAGCCTTCGCGGGTGTATAGTGAGCCCTCGCGCGATGCTAGCTTGTTCTTTACCAGCTTGTTCTTCACCAGCTTGTTCTTCACCAGCTTGGCCTTCACCAGCTTGGCCTTCACCAGCTTGGCCTTCACCAGCTTGGCCTTCACCAGCTTGTTCTTCACCAGCTTGTTCTTCACCAGCTTGTTCTTCAGCTTGGCCTTCACCAGCTTGTTCTTCACCAGCTTGTTCTTCACCAGCTTGGCCTTCACCAGCTTGGCCTTCACCAGCTTGGCCTTCACCAGCTTGTTCTTCACCAGCTTGTTCTTCACCAGCTTGTTCTTCACCAGCTTGTTCTTCACCAGCTTGTTCTTCACCAGCTTGTTCTTCACC